TGAGCTGCTCCGGCCACTTCACGGACCCCAGGGTGGGCCTGGGGATGCTCTGCCTTAGAGCCCTTTGGTCACAGGGACAGGTAACGTTCCAGGGTTTGGGACTGGCAGGGTCGGCATGGGCAGCCTGGTAGGGCTGAGCCCTTCCCGTGTGGAATGTGCTGCTGTCTCTGTATGCAGAGTGGACAACTGCGGGGGATCCTGGCCACCCTGCCTGTCCACGCCCCATGTGTGTCACGGTGCTGCAAGGCTCAGTAGTCATGGTGGCCTCTGGCTGCGTGGCCTTCACACGGGCAGCACGGGGGTTTTCCTGGGGAGGAGGGCAAGGCTTCCAGGAGCACTTCCGGAACCCCAAGATCCCAAAGCTCTCCCCGTTCCCCCGTGTGCCCAGGGGTGGATTTGCTTTTCCTCCGCAATTACAAAATCGGTGTGTCAGGTCAGTAACCGAACTACATTATTCGCATCACCCAGGCTTGTCCCCCAGACCCACTGGCCTGGAGGCGTCCTAGGCAGTAGGTGTCAAAGCATGTTCGCATAGCACCTTTGTCGTAGAAGGAACCAGAAACACCCAGCATGGTCCAGAGGCAGTCGGGAGGACATCCTGAATTGTCTAGTTTGTGGAATGGGTGTAAGTCACTCTTCATCCTGGTCGGGAGGGGGGGAGGAAGAAGCAAGGCCTTCCCGGGGTGGGGGTGGGTGGTGCCTGAGGCCCCTCACAACCCGGTAGGTGCAGCAGGAGAAAGGAGGGGGACATAGGCCACCAGTCCTCGTGGTAGACTGCAGGGAGCCGGGCCATCCTGCATGAGGAGGCGACAGCAGAGCTCCGTCCACTCGAGTGGGTCTGAGCAGATCTGCACTGAGCTCCTGGGGCACCCCGCTCCACTCCTGGGGCCTCTCAGGGCCTCCCGGGGCCTCGCCCCTTTGGCAGGCATCCTGAGTTAGGAGCCCCTCTCGGGTGTGGGTCACAATGCCACGTGCACGGGCAGCAGGAGGACAAGCCCTGTGTCATGCGTGTCTGTAAGGAATCCACCCGCAGGATGGGCCCTAAGGTATCTGCAGAGATGTGGGCCCCGCGTGGGGGCCCCCCAGGGTGGCCACGCTCCCAGAGCTCGGGGTCTGTCTGTGGAGCTGCCTGCTTCCCCTCCAGCACAGCCACCGGGGACGCCAAGGCGGCCCAGCCACCGGGGACACGTGCACATTGGGCTTGGTGTGCAAGCCAGCCGGCCAGGCTTCTGGGGTCAGCCTCTCCCAAGGCAGTGGCTTCCCTACAGCAGGAGTCCCCGTGACGGGCAGGAGCTTTCCGATGCCTTTCTGGCCTCGCCGTCTTCAGGGGCCCCTCAACTGACTGCTGAACCCTGGTACCTCACCCTGGATCCACACCAGCCTCTGAGGGACAGACCTGTCACTTCCCAAGGGCCCATCAGCAATCGCGGGGGGCTCCAGGGATCTGGGGCTGCTCCAGGAAGAGGACCAGACCAGGAGAGGCTGCAAGGCCAGCAGCGCCCCTGGGTGGCGCTGGCACAGGTCCAGTCACAGGGGAGCCCCTCCCAGCAGGACTCCGCCCAGGGGCCTATGGCCAGGGGGGCAGCAGGCAGGATGGGAGCGCTATGGTCGGGACGTGCCCCCCCCCCAACATGTGTGGAAATCCCAAGTGCCAGACACGATGGCGTTTGGCGACAGGCCCTCTGGGAGGTGCTTCAGAGGGCGCAACCCTCCTGGATGGGGCTCCACCTTCTAAGAGAGGCTCCGGAGAGTTCCCCAGGCCCCTCCAACATGAGAGGACCCAGGAGGAGGTGTCAGCTGGAGCCAGGACGGGGCTCTGGCTCCCCCTTGCTGGCACCTCACAATTCCAGCCTCCAGCACCAGGAGAAATGACTGTTCCTTATTCCTAAGCCACCCGGTTGTGAGGTGATCTGTTCCCGGCCCAGCAGGCTCCTGGACAAAGGCAAGCGACAGACCGCGCGGGGAGGGGACTCAGCAGCTCGGCAGCTCGAGAGGGAGCCAGGCCTGGGGTCTCAGAACCGTGGGGCTCCAGCTCGTGTTCCCAGCAGAGGTAGGGTGAGGTGGGTGGGGTGGGGGTGGCCGGCAGTCTGCCACTGTGAGCTGCATGGGAAACAGTGGCACCCGTGCAGGAAGATGTGAGCGGGGTGCCCCAGGACGCAGCTGCTGTGATCAGACCTATCGCCGTGGGGCCTGGGGCTGGTGCGGGGCCCTACAGGACCCGAGGTTGGGGAGCACGGTGTCGGGGGGCCCGGCCCGGGGTGCTGTGCCCCACAGCGCAAGTGCAGGCCATGGGGGGGCGGGGGGCGGGCCTCTGGGGCCGGGGAGGAGGAGGAGGCAGCCTGGGACGTTGCCCCGGGGGCCGCGGCTGCCACACAGGCTTCCTCCTGACAGGGCTGAGGAGGCCCCTGAAGTGTGCAGGGACCCATGACAGGGCAAGGGTGGCGCCTGCAGGGATGAGGCCGAGGAGGGGCGGCTGCTGGGCCCCGGGGAGCCCCAGACAGCCCGAGGGCCTTGGGCCCCAGGCCCAGCTCTCAGCACTTTCCCCAGGGCCACGCAGAAGCTGTGGTGAGTTCACACGGACCTAGTGTCCCCTTCGGGGTGGCCGTCCTCCTAGCCCACCTGGCCGTGTCCTGCTGGAGTCGCCGGCCCGGGGCTCTGGCCAGCTCTGGGGCCTCTGGGCCATGCCAGAGCAATCCTCTCTGCCAAGGGGTCTTGAGCAAGGAAGCAAAGAAGGCCCGTCTCCGTGGCGGCCCCGGGGCCCGGGCTGACATGCCAGGGCCCAGATGGCTTAGCCGCGGGAGGCCGAGTTTCCCATAGGCCAGTGCCTCCACCCAAGACGGCACTGTGGCTCTGTCCTCCTCAGGGGACAAGATGCGCTTGCTGTCCTTGACTCGGCCCCAGCTGAGATTTGGGGACTCAAAACACAGAACGTCAGGCAAGGGTCCCACAGAAGAGCTAGGACCTGAGAGGGCCTCAAGCCAGCCTGACCCCACCCAATGCCTGCGTGCTCTGCGGAGCACCAGACTGTGCATCCCGAAGCCATCTCCTCTCCCATTTCCCTCCCACCCAACGGGACCGTACCTCGACGGCACCAGCAGAGCTCAGGGCTCGCCGAGGCCTCGGCAAAGTACCCTCTTCATCCTCGAGAGAGCTCTGAAAGTCTTAGGGCTGCTTAGGAGAAGCCAGCAATGGCTTTTAAAGTGTGGCTTTCCTTGAGGCTGCCACTGAATTGCTCAGGTCTCACGGCAGGCCCCGCCAGCCCTTGCTGACTCTAGAGTGAACACCAGGGAAAGTGTGGAGAAGCACGAAGAAAACGAAGCAGGCCCGCGTCCCGAGCCGGGGGCTCATGGAGGGTTCCAACTTTTGGACTCAAAGTCCCCTCGGGAGGCTCTCTCTCAAACCTGCGTGGCGCTCCCTGTTTAGACACAGAGGACTGAGCCTCAGAGAGGGCGACTGGCCCTTCTGGGTGGCGGAGCTGGCACAAGGAGCTAGGGCCTCCCGGGGAGGGGTGGGGGGGCGGCCTGGCCATGGCACCAGTGAGGATGGAGAACAGAGTGGCTCTGGGGGGAAAGAACATGTATCCCCCACACCGCCGTCCCGCCCTCTCGTACGTGAAGATGACTTTGACCGAGGTGTTGTCCCCGCCCACACCCAGGCTCTCCTGGTTTCAGGTACTCCACATTGGCCGCTAGTCCCATCCCGCTAACCGAATAGGAATCTTGCTCGCAAGTGAGTCTGTAGGAAGCAGGCCCTTTGAAACATCAGCCCGGAGCCAACACCAGTACTCAGTGTATCTGCCAGTGAGGTGGAGGCGGGAGGGCGACACGGGAGTCGGGGTGGGCGTGGGCTCGGGGCGAGGGCGGTGGGGCCGGCCTGGGAGCGGGTCTGTGAAGTGATTTGTTTCAACACAACATATGCCGCACCCCACGATCAAGACATTGAAAGGGGAAATGCTCCCAGGAGATCCAGTTTGGAAGGAAGCGGGGGGCCAGAAATCTGGGCAGGCTGGGCCCAAACCCCTCTACCAGGCCAGGAAGCAGGGCTTTAGAGGCAGCCAGCCTTGGGGGAGGCTGGAGGCAGGTGTGTGCGGGAGGGCCGCAAAGGGCCAACTCAAGTGTCCCCAGGGTGAGCCCATCTTGGGTGGCGAGGGTAATTTCTCGAGGGAACAGGTAGAAACTAAAAGCAATCACACTGTGACGTGGAGAGGGACGAGAGCAGGGACAAGCTGAGCTCACAGGAGACTCTATGGCACAGCAGAGGAGGGGGTGCTGTGGGGGACACCGAGGTCGAGGAACAAGAGGTATGCTCCCACCGTGCTCGAGCACAGCCCTACTCTGGGGACAACTTGACCCAGGGATGGGAACAGGGGACTGTATGCTCAGGCCCAGCTGAGCAGGACCAACTGCCAGCAGGAGCAGGTGGGAGAGACCATAGCAGGAAGTGGGGGGGGTCACAAAGAAGAGGGGGGCTACCGAGTGAGACTAGGCCAACTGGACCTCCAGGGACTGCCCCCCGAGGGCCCTGCCGACTGGGGCGGGACTGGGCAGTAGCCAAGCCAGGACCACGCAGGGCCTGGCCCTTGAGCTGATCGGAGGCCCCCAGTGGGTGCCCCCCGCCGTCTCTAGGGGTGGGCATGGAGCTGGGATCTGGGTTTCCCTACCCTCCCTGGGCCAGGCCCCAGGAAGCAATGTGCCTGCCTACAGACGGGAGACTTTCTGGGCAAGGTGGACCATACTTTTGTGTACTTTGAGACAAGAGAGGAGCTGGGGGCCCTGTGTGTGGCCCCTCCCCCAGCCTTGGCCAGGGCTCCCTGTGCAGACCGGCTCTGAGCCACCTTTGTGACATCACGTGACAGAGGGTGGGGACTCAGGCAGCTGGTTGCCCCACGACCGGGCTCTAGAATCCTGTGAACACTATTTATTGGGCGTCCCTGCACTGGCCCAAGGCATTTCTGACTCGAACGTCCAGTGAGACAGTCTCGGGGCAAAGATGCTCCTGATCTAGACTGGCTCCATGGCTAGTCAGGGTACCGACAAGATGTATGAAGTCAAGCCAGCCCCACCTGGGGATGGACAGCCAGCGACAGGGATCCCGTCTGATTTATCCCCGGATCCAAATGTGGATTCCGGGGAGATTTTCGAGAAGAATGAGGATGAAGCTGTGAACCGAGATCCAGGACCGCAAGACAACCCACAGCCACAGGCCCAAGACCATGGTGCCGCCAACGTGGAAGAAAACATTCTCGGGCTCTCCTTCCCGAGGAAGCTTTGGAGGATCGTGGAGGACGACGCCTTCGCGTCGGTGCGTTGGAACGAGGACGGCGACGCCGTGGTCATCGACAAAGACCTCTTCCAGCGGGAGGTTCTTCACCGGAGAGGCGCAGAGAGGATCTTCGAGACTGACAGCTTAAAGAGCTTCATCCGCCTCATGAACCTGTACGGGTTCAGCAAAATCCGAGCCAGCAACCCCTCAGGTCACTCTCTGGGCAACAAGAAAATGATGGTAAAGTACAAAGGCCTCGCCTGCCCCCTCCCCTGTTCTCTGTCTGTCCCACTCACATAGTCCCAGCGGACTTAGATGACTCCCCTCCCAGAAGGGTTTCCTTTCCCAGGACAATCTCTCTCCTGTGACCCTGTTATCAAGGGAGAGAAAGGCTAGGCCTTCCCCTCGAACCTACAAGCCCCTCAGGGAGAGAGTGCTGCTGGGCCCAGACACAGGCTAGGTCATGTCAAATAGGCACGTGGACACCTGAACCCACATATCATGTGTAGTTCATAAGCTTGGCCTCTCGGGTTGGACAGCCCCGGTGGGCAACCTAAAGGGATGCCATCACAATGGAACCTGGCCATTGTGACAGTGGGGGTGGGGGGTGGCTGCCTTGGTGGCTGCGGCCGCCATGAACCTTCCCCTCCCACAGTGACTAACATGAGGACTCTTGTTTCAGATCTACCGAAATTCTAACTTTCAGAGAGACAGGCCCTTGTTCCTTGACAATGTCCAGAGAAAAGGTGACCTGAAAACCACCACTGCGTGCTCAGGGAGCAGCGCAACCACTCCCAAGAGAAAGAAGCCCACGGCAGCCACGAGACGTTCTCCACGAATCCATCACCAGGAATCCACCAAAGAGGACAAGGAGGCCCCCAGGGAAGCCCCAAATGCTCAGGGACCCAGTGGCACCCAGTCGTTCACATTCTCTGGCATCTGGTCTCTGAGCAGTGTAGCTGGGTACGCCACCGAAAATCATGGCCCCAGTGAGCTGGCTGGTCCCAGTGGGGAGGGTACCTCCAGGAATGTGATGTTCGCATCCCCGGCCCTGGCCGGGAGGGACGGCGCAGGGGAACTGCCCCCCGCACCCCCCGTTTACCCAGATTACAGGTCAGTGATGTCACTCTACAACACCTGTTATTCCATCCTCTTGGCTGCCCTCTCGGTCATGCCCCCAAACGAGGCCCCAAGTGAGAACGAGGAACACGAGGGCTCCTCAGATTACAAGTGTGCACTCTGTGAACACTTCAAGGAAAATCCGGGTCCGTAAGCTCACAGGCCAATGGTGACAGATAAAAACACCACTCTGTAACCGCAAATCTATTTTCGGCTTTAATAAAGAAAAGCAAAACTCTGGCAGTAAATAAATGACCTACTGAGCAAGGCGAGTCTGTGTTGTTTTCTCACTTTCGATGCTACCCGTGCCTCATCGGATACCCCCGAGGAGGCTGGGAGTCCTGGCCCAGGACAGGTTTTGGCCCCCGAGAGTCCTCTTTCCTTTGAAACAGCAGCATCTTTGCACACCCAGCGGAGGAGCCGGCTAGGGTGGGGCGAGGCAAGCCCGGGGGGTGGGGGGACCTGAGCATAGCCTCCCTCCAGACCTCGGCAGAGTCCCCTTATGTCACTGACCTATCTTGAAACGGGGGAGGGGGGCTTTCCTCAGGGACCCCCTCCCCCCATGATGCCGGGAAGTTGCCGGTCAGCAGCTGAGTGCATCTGGCCAAAGAGCCAGGTGCCTTCCACAGAGGCCCACTCAAAGGCAGGGCCACCCCATCCGCCAAGGGATGCAGGACCACTTGAGTGCAGCACAGAAGAGACAGGCCATTCCAGTCAACGGCTGGTGGGGGTGCAGGTGGCCCGGCATCCTCACAGGTAACAACCACAACAACACACAAAACCTCACACAAAAACCACAACAACAAACCACACAATGACGCAATCCATCACTTTTCCATCAGTGCTGTATTGAGGATCCTTTCTTTGCATACAAAGTAGCCACGCGATGAGTCTAACATGCATACATCAGGGGCCATGGGATGGGACGTGTTGTCAACACAGCAAGAGTCCCTTGCGAGGAAAGACAGGTGCCGTTTCTCAGTCTGACGTCCTCGTCTTTGTCAACAGGGGGCGTCTGTGGCTGGCCACTCCCGGGCCTTCCTTGAGTGCCCGCTCCCAGCCTTCCCACAACATCCCCCGGATGCTGTTCCAACATTCCCAGACTTTGACCAGAACAAAGATGGGGGACACACCAACTGGGTGTCTTGAGACGTAATTCTTTGTACGCCGAAGAAATCAGCAGGGCCCAAATGAGCGGCAGCGCAAAAGCCGTCAGGGCGGTTCTCCCTTCCTCCTGAGGGTCGAAGCCCTTGAGACTGGCGAGGATCCCAGGCAAGCACCTCACAAGGCAAGTCTGCCGACCTGTCCCCCATGCGTGTGTGGACACACCTGTTTCCATGAACAGCGCACGGTGGCACTGCCAGACCTGACCGCTTCCCGTGTCTGCAGCGCCAAGGGTGGTGATGGTCCGCATCCCACTGCTGGCTCCGTACCCTTGCAAAGGCCTCAGGCCTCCTGCCCCGAGGGGATCAGGCGCTCTGGGATGTCTACCTGGAAGACATCCTTTCCACCTTTCCCGGGGATGGGCTCCAGCAACCACCTAGGGTTTGAGAGTGCGGTGAGGTACTTCTGCTCCAGGCCGGTCAGTACAGCTTGAGTTTCCAGTTCCAGCAGCTCCTCAGGAGCTAAGTCCGCCGGGCACGGCAAGGTATCCCCAACATCGACGAGCCCTGCGCACAAGGACAAGCACACGCTGGTTTTTCCCTCCGGGAACCCAGACCCGCCTGGCAGAGGACACGGTTACTGACAGTTACCCGCCCTGGAGACCAGGAGGGGCTCACCAAGGGGACGCAGAGGATACCGAGCCCCTGTGACCGAACATTTCCGCCATGCCAAACTCTGCTCAGGGAATGCTGGGGGAGCCGAGGGAGGGAGAGAAGTGAAGTGGAGGGGCTTGTCCTCAATGAGCACACCCAGATCATGGGCTGGACTCAGCCAGACTGCTTAGGGCAGCAGACGATGAGGGGTGGGAGGCAGGGGCAGACACGGGCCATCAGGTCCCTAAGCACTTCGGCAGGTGGCAGAGGCTGCTGTGGGGCCCTACCCACCACCAAGGGTTAGGGAACTTACCCAGGACGCCAGGACAGTGGGGGCGGGGCATCGCACCGGAAGCCAGCAACAGCCTGAGGAGGCTACCCCGACCCACAGCCGGTCCCGGGTGCCTCCCATGGTCTCTGCCGCACCTATGCGCGTGTGCACACGCACACACTCGTCCGCAGACACATGGGTGGACACATACATACCCACAGACAAATCCCACATGGAGACCTGGAACCTGGCCCTGCCTCTCAGATCAAAACTGGGACCTGAGGCCCAGAGCAGATGCAGGGTTCACCTGAGGTCGTGGGGCCTCGGCAAAGCCCCCACCCCCGGCCCAGGGCCCCCCTGCCCCCAGGAAGGTGGGAGTCTTCCAGAAAGCACCACCCACATGCCTAGCAGTTCAAAGGAAGGCGAGCCAGAAAGCTCCTGAGCCTGGTCCTGGGGGGGAGCCCTCGGGGTGTGGGAGCCACGTCTGCTGCCCAGCACTTGCCAGCTATCACGCCGCGGCCGTACTTTTCCCCTTCCCGAAGCAGGGCCTGAATCTGCGCGGGGGTCATGCCGAGCCTCTGCAGCAGCAGCTCCCTCCACGTGGTGCCGTCCCAGTCACGGTGAGCGATGTGGATGGCGATGGTCCGGTTCCGGTGGCCGCTCAGCACTGGACGCCAACGTGTCTCCACCGTCTTCACGCCATTCAGCACGAAACCTGCGTAAGGCTGCCGGAAGGAGAGGCAGCCGAACTGCATGGCCCTCCAGCTCCCGGGCCTCACCGGGCCTGCGGAAACACGGAACTGCCAATGGCCACGAGCGTCACTCCCGGCGCTCCGAGCTCCCGACCGTGGGCCAGACCGCTCTGCAGTGTTCCCCGGGCGGCCCAAGACCCCACTGACCCGGACTCCTTCGTTCGAGCCCTACAGTCGGCTGACAGGCCCCAAGGAAGGGGCTGCACATCGGGATGACCTGGCCATCAGCTGAGCCTCCGGGAGCCCCCAGGAGGGCAGGGCCAGCTGGAGGAGAGCTGGCCAGGAGAGCATGGGCTCGGTTCCACCCCAGGGGACACTGAGGCAGGAGAACCCAGAGCAGCAGGGCCCCCGGGTTCACAGCTCAGCCAGCTGGCCCCAGCCTCCTCCCAGCACAGACAGTCCCGGGCTTGGCTTCTTCTCCTGACAGCCCCCACCCCAACCCGCTTGGGGCCTGTGATCGCCACCGACGCTCTGCTGAACTCATCTCCCGGTGCCCAGCCCGGGGCTGCCGAAGTGAGTGCAGCTGGCCCCGGCAGGTGTCTCCTCCACATCCCTTTGGGTGGGACCCTCCTGTGACCCCTTCCTGCCCCACCGCTCTCCACTATCAAAAGGCACCCCCCAACCCTGACCCGAACCTAGAGAAAGGAAACACAAGAGCAAGGACAGCCGGTACTGGGCCACATGCACTGTGTCTATGCCGGGTGCTAGGGGTGGGCATAACCCACGCACATAGGACTCAACCCTCTGACACCCCGGGAGGGTAGCACCACCATCGCCCCACTCCATATGTGCAAAGGAGGGGCTGAGGGACAGACATGGCCTGTGATCACAGGAGATCTGAGCGCATGCACCCCCTTCCTCGCACCTGGATTGTGGAGGCCTCCCTCCTCCTCCCGGGAGGACACAGCTGTGCAGCGGGCAGTGCGGGGCCCCAGGCCTGAACCTCCCTGTTGGGTCCCCACACCTCCCAGAGCCTCAGTCTCCCGGGTGGCTGTGAGGATCGTTGACAAGTCGCCGAGGGAACCTAGTCCAGTACACGGCACCTCATGGGGCGGCTACAAAGGGTGGCTCCCCATCACCGCCACCCTCACCATCATCGGGCCTGGGGCTGTACTTGGCCCATGAGCACCACCTCCTCCAGTCCAGCTCTGCTCCCAGTTCCGGAACTACATCTGCCTGGCTTCAGCGACAGTCCCTTAAGAAAACGCACCCACTCTCAGACTGGAGGCCTCGTGATCACAAAAGCTGCCTCACACTGGCCCCCTTCCCAACCCACTGTCCCCACACCCAGAGCCACGGCCTGCCCCCACCTCTCCAGCTGAGCAGCCCTGTCGGGTGACCCCAGCTGTGCCCGGGACCCTGGCCCTCTCACTCACTCCAGGACCTGCTCACGCACCCTCAGCCCATCCCTCTGAGCAGACGGCCCGTTTACAGACACCCACACCTGGAAGTCCCTCACTGAGGGTCAGACTCCCCCCAGCACACCCCCGAGCCCACACGCACCTCCAGCGCCTGCCGCCTCCTCTAAACCCCTGCAGAGCAGTGGTCCCGATGGCCTACCCTCGCAGCCTCTACTTCTTTGCCACGCACTGTCCCCCCACCCTCCACAGCAGTCACCGCACTCACCAGTGACCCGCCTCCTGGTGTTCTGTTCTCATCTAACTCACAGCCGGACAGCCCTGACGTGGCGACCACCTCTACGTCTCTTCTTCTCAGGCTTCTCCATAGCACGCTCGCCCGCTCTGCCTCCCTTCTTCACACAGGCCCTGCTCACTTCGTCTCACCGTCCACAGGCAGGACACTCTCAGGTCCCCAAGCCCCGCCACCCCAAATCCACTTCTTATACCGCTGCAAGTGGATTTAAACACCAATCTGTTGTTCGGTCCCTGAGGAAGCAGCTGACCCTGTTCCCTTACCTGCACCTGGGACTCACAGTGAGTGGGGCCGGCCCCAAGCCTAGCCAGAGTCTGAGTCCTCTCCATTGGCACCATGGCCATAATCCCTTTGGCCCCAAACCCCTTCAGCATCTGAACACTCTCCATGGTCCCCATGGCCACAATCCCAGTATGGCCCCAAACCTACCCAGAGTCTGAACCCCCTGCACCGGTCCCCATGGCTACAATCCAAATCTAGCCCCAAAACCTACTCAGAGCCTGAAGCCTCTCCATGGTCGCCATGGCCACAGTACTCGTCTGGCCCCAAACGTACTCAGATACTGACCCCTCACCACGGACCCATGGCCATAACCTGAGTCTGGCCTTAAAACCACTCAGTGCTGGACCCACATCCATGGTCTCACGGCTAAAAATATAGTATGGTCCCACACCTACTCTGAGCCCGAACCCTATCTATTGTCTTCATGGCCACAATGCTAGTGTTGCCCCAAACTTAGCCTGACCCTACTGCACGGTCGCCATAGTCACATTCCTACTCTGACCTTAGGCCTACACAGAGCATGACCCCTTTCCACGGTCCCCATGAACACAAATAGAGTCTGGCCCCAAACCTACTCAGAGCATGAACCCTCTCCATCAACTCCAGGGACAAAATCCCCCAACCTATGCAGAACATGAATCCATTTTATGGCCCATGGCCACAATCCTAGTCTGGCCCCAAACCTACTCAAAGCCTGACCCCTCTCCTCTGGTCCCATGGCGACAATCCCAGTAGGGGCCAAACCTACTCAGAGATTGACACCACTTCATCGTCTCCATGGACACAATCCAAGTCTGCTCCCAAACCTACTCAAAGCCTGACCCCTCACATGGTCTCCATGACCACAAACCTAGTCTGTTCTCAAACCTACTCAGAGCCTGACCCTTCTCCATGAACCAACCTTTGGCTACAATCCCAGTATGGCCCCAAACCTACTCAGAGTATGACCACTACACATCGTCTCCATGGCCAATCCTAATCCGGCCGCAAACCTACACACAGCTTGACTGGTCCTCATGGTCCCCATGGCCAGAATCCTATTCTGAACTGAAGCCTACTCACAGATGGACACCTCTCCATCCGCTCCATGGCTACAATCATAGTCTGTCCCCAAAGATACTCAGAGGTTGGCCCTATTCCATGGTCCTTAAGGCCACAATCTGAAACTGGCCAGAAACCTACTCAGAGCACGGCCCATCTCCGTCGTTGCCATGGCCACGAACCTAGTAGGCCCCAATCATACTCAGAGCCTGAACCCTCTCCATGGACCCATGGCCATAATCCTAGTCTGGCAGCAAACCTATCTGGAGCCTGAACTCTCTCCATGGTCTCCATGGCCAAATACTAGGATGGCTCCAAATCTACTTAGAGCCTGAGCACTCTCCATGGTCCCCATTGTGAAAATCCTAGTTTGGCCCTGAAACCTACTCAGTCTGATACCTCTCCATTATCTCCATGGCAAAAATCACACTCTGGCCCAAAACCTACTCAGAGCCTGACCCCTCATAATCATCTCCATCCACAATCCCGACCTACTCGGTGCCTGACCCCCCTCCATGGTCCACATGGCTACAAATCCAGTGTGAACCCAAACCTACTGAGACCTGACCCCTCTACATCATTCCCATAATCACGATCAGAGTCTAGCCTGAAACCTACGTATAAGATGACCCCCTTCCTTTATTTCCATGGCCAGAATCCTAATCTTCATGAAATCTAGTCAAAACTTGAACTCTCTTCATGGTCCCCATGGACACAATCCCAGTCTGGTCCATAACCTGCTATGAGCTTCACCCCTCTACATGGTACCCATGCCCAATTCTAGTCTGGCTCAAACATACTCAGAACCCGATCCCTTTCCATGGTCCCCATGACCACTATTCCAGCCTGTCTTTCAATCTAATTAGAGCCTTACCCCTCTCCATGGTCCCTTTGGCTACAAACCCAGTCCAGGCTGAAACCTACTCAGTCTGACCCCATTGCATCATCCTGAAAATAAAAATTCTAGTCTGGACCCAAATCTACTAAGAGCCAGTCACCTCTTCATGTTCCTCATGGTCAGAATCCTAGTCTAGGCCACAAACTACTCAGTGTCTGACCCCTCTCAATCATCTCGATGGCCACAATTGCAGTCTTGCCCCAAATCTACTCAGAATCAGACCCTGTAGCATGGACCCATGACGACAATCCTATCTGGCCAAAGCTACTCAGATCTTGACCCCTCTCTATCATCTCCAAGGCCACAACCCAGTCCGGTACCAAACCTACTCAGAGCATGAGCCCTCATCATTGTCTCTATGGCCACAATCGTAGTTTGGGCACAATCCTACGGAGAGCCTGATGCCGCATCATGGAGGCCATGGCGACAATCCTAGTGCCCCCAAGCTACTCAGTGCCTGGCCCTCTCCATTGTCTCCATAGCCACAATCCGAGTCTTTCCCAAAACCTCCTCAGAGCGTGATTCCTCTCCATGCTCCTCATGGCCTCATCCTAGCTAGCCCAAACCTGCTCATAGCATGGGACGTCTCCATATTCTTCAGGGCACAATTCCTAATATGACACCAAACCTACCCAGATCCTGACCCTCTCCATGGCCCCCATGGATGTAAATATAGTCTGGTCCGAAACCTACTCATAGTATGGTCCCCTCTACATTTTCTCCTCTCCATGGTACCCATGGCTACAATCCCAGTCTGGCACCAATACTACCCAGTGCCTGACCCCTCTCCATTGTCTCGATGGCCAAATCCTAGCCTGCCCTTAACCTATTCACACTCAGACATGTAACACCATGGTGACTGGAGCCAGAATCTCAGGCTGGACCCAAACCTACTCAGAGCATGACCCTTCTCTCTCCTACAAATATCCACAATTTCTGTCGGGCACCAAATCTACTCAGAGACTAAACCCTCTTCTTCGTCACCATGGCCAGAATACTAATCTGCCCCGAACCCAACTAAGAGCCTGACCCCCCTCCATGATCCACATAGCAACAATATCAATAGACCCCAACCCTATACAGAGCCTGACCCCTCTAAGTAGTCTACATGGCCACAAACCCGGGACAGGTGTCTCAGAGGCAGACACCTCTTCATGGTCCACATGGCCACAAA